CAGACCCCGGGCAGCTGCCCCCCGAGATCCTCCCCGGGCCCCAAGCCCACGCCAGTGGGATTCCTTATTGCTCAGGACGGGGTCGGGTGCTGGGGGTCACTGGGACCCCCACCCGTAACCACCAGAGGCAGCCGCACCTGTAGCATCTGGCAGGCCCTCCCTTCGCCCTGGGGGAGGGCGGGGCGGAAGGCGTCAGCAGGGCGACCATACAGCTGCCCCCCGAGATCCTCCCCGGGCCCCAAGCCCACGCCAGTGGGATTCCTTATTGCTCAGGACGGGGTCGGGTGCTGGGGGTCACTGGGACCCCCACCCGTAACCACCAGAGGCAGCCGCACCTGTAGCATCTGGCAGGCCCTCCCTTCGCCCTGGGGGAGGGCGGGGCGGAAGGCGTCAGCAGGGCGACCATACAGGACCTGGGAGGACACCTCATGGAAGGGCGCCCTGGGCCTGCCTGGGGACGCCCCGCACCAGCCCCGGGAAAGGCTTAAAGGAAAAGGTGCTGGGCCCACCAGGTCTCAGCCAGGAGAGATGCGACTGGGGCTTTAATATTCAAAATGGGGGGAAAAAAGCAAGAAAGTTGTACAGTATTTTTCCTGTCAAGGTTATTATTCTACATAGAACAAAAAGAGAAAAAAGCAGGCGGGAGGTGAGGGCGCCGCCCGCCTCCGCCCGCCCTGAGGTTGGAGACAGTGCAATGGCTCCTGGGGCTGTTGGGCGTGTACCCGAGGCCTAAGGCCGAGGCCGGCTCTACACTAGCACTGACCGGAGCTACGTGATTCCAACTTTTCACTTGAATTTTTTAGAGGCCAGAGAAAAGGACTATTACCATTGATACAAGTTTGTAGTTAACATTTGAGTTTTTCTCTATTGGTTATGTGTGTGGCTTTATAGGGCTTTTTTTTTTTTCCTTTCCCAGTTTATTATTTTGTTTGGGATGCTTCTTTGTTGGTGTTACCCACCCAGATTTGGTTCCCTTTTCAAAACATCCCCCCTTCCTGGAGATGATATCACCAGGCCCGGAGCGGCCCCGCCTGACAGGCACCGGCCTGGCCAGTGGCTATGAGGGCGACAGGGACCCAGGACCGGCCCCTCCTGTCCACCTCCTGTCCACTCCAGGCTCCCAGCTGGGCTCCGGTGGGCCCCTGAGACTCCGGCCACAGGAAGCGAGCAAGGCCCAGCCTGGGGGAAGGCCTGTCACCCAGAGCCACCTCCCTACAGGTCTCCAAGGGGAGCCCCACCCAACTGGGGCCGTGGCATCCTTTCTTTTTTTCTGTTTTGTCCTCTGGCCTGCCCACAGCCAGAAGCCAGGATCATCGGAACTGGAGAGGGAGCGGGGAGGGAGGACGGTCAGACGGAGTGTGCCTGATTCACGGGGAAACATCGCGTTTCTAGAACAGCCCCACCAGAGCCTCCTGAATTCTGTGGGCACCACGTGCTGCTGCTGAGCGCTCGCCCAGACTGTGCCTGGCCACAGACCGGGGAGTCTGTGGAGGAAGTTTTGTAAAGAAAAAAAAACAAAAACAAACATTTTTCAATGTAGCAAAATCAAACAAAAACAAAACAAAAAAAAGAAAAGAAAAAAGAAGACGCCGACAGTGCGAAGTCTAGCCTTTTGTAACCTTCATATTGCACACTAGGACTATAAGCCATTGCTAGCTCATTTTGAATTTTAATGTGTAATTTTTGTTTTATTTTCTTTCTGTGGGGAAAACGATGCTTGATCCACCAATGCTCTTTTTAATGTTTTATAACTATGTATGTGTATATATATAAATATAAAATAATATGTATGCACATATGTGTGTATATATCTATATGTATATACATATATAGATATATAGAGATATATAGAGAGGTTTTGAGACAAAAAATGCAGAACGTGAGAACCGAACTGAACAGCGTGTGCTCTGATTACTTGAATCTGGTCTCCTCGGCACCTGGTTATTAAGAACTGAATATTTTTCCACTTGAATTTAGTGCTATTAGAAATTTAATATATGTGTTTTATTTATTTGATTTTTTTTTGCATGACTGATGCAAGGTTTGACATTTTCACTCAATAAAAACTGGAAAAAAAATCTATCAAGTTATCTTTTATTTTTAAAATCAGCTCCAAGCAGCTGGAGGTGACCCAGCCGTGCAGGGTGGCACAGCCCCACTGAGCTGCGTGTGCCAGGCAGGGAGGAGGGGGTGTCGGTGACCCTTCAACCCTGGGAGAGAAGGGGGAGGACCAGTTTCACCCCTGGGATCAGGCCAAGTTCCCAGGGGGCTGGGGCAGATGGTGGGGGCTTGGGCTTGGCCCGTCTGAAGGATGAACTCCTCCCTCAGCCCTGCCTGAAGGCCCCACAGGAGACTCAAGAGCCACCTTCGGGCCGAGGCGAACAGGCTTCCGGCAAAGACCCCACGGGCTCCACGAGCTCCCCAGGCCCCCCACCCGGGCAGCCCTCTCCTCTGTCGGCCAAGGCTACTGGGCAGGCGCTGGGCAGGGTCACCCATCTGCCTCCTCCCTCAGCTCCTTCCTCCTTCCTGCAGGGACCTGCCTGGGCTGGGAACGGCGTGTACCCGGATCCGATCCGGATGCTGGCTCGGCTCCTGCCTGCAGCACGTGGGGGCAGAGCCAGAGGGGGCCAACTCCCGGGTCTGTGGCCACCCGCCCCAGGCCCTGGTGGCACCATGGCTGGGGCTCCCCCAGAAGCCCGGGTAGTGGGAGCACTCCCCTGGGGCCTCCCGCCTTGCTGACCCTGACACTCCTGAACGGTGACCCCTGTCATGAAGCCTCATCCTCTGCACGGTCTCGCCAGCTGTGCCCTGAGCTGACCTCCTTCCAGGGGGCCAGACCTCCCAGGGCCCCCATCGCCTTATTCCAATCTGAGGACGGCTCACTGGGTGCCACTCCTGCAGGGACCACACCGCTGTCCTGAGGAGGGGACAGGGCTGGGAAGTCCGCCACGGTCCTCCCCTGGCGGGGCGCCTCAGACCGGGCTGCCTCTCCCGTGCCCCGGGCCCCTGCGTGCCCAGCACCCAGCACCCAGCACCCAGCTCAGTGCCATCCCCATGCAGAAGCTCCTTCCCGCCGCCCAGCTCCCAGGGCCCTTCCCTTTCTTCCCTCTGGAGCGCAGCCCACGGGCTATTTACATAAATATGTTTGTAACAGACGTGAAAATATATACTTTTTTCTGTCTTATTAAAATGTTCAAGTTGGAACTCGCCTATTGTTTGTGGATATCTCGATTCTGTTAAATAAAACAGTGACTAATTTATGGGATAAAACACAAGTTCAACAAATTAAAACCATTATTGGAGCTTCATGGGCCCTGGTGGGCCAAGCAGCCTTCCCGTGGGGCCCGAGGCAAGGCAAGGAGCCAAGCCTGGCCCTCCACTGCTGGGTGGGTGGGGCGACCACAGGGCTCCCTCTGGGCGCTGCTATGGGGGGCAGTGGGGTGGGGCCCACAAAGGCTTTCGGGGAGCAGCTCCCAGGGGCTCCAACTTCAGCTGCGCTCAGGGTAGATGCCCCAAAACTGCCCCCTCCTCAGTTGCCCCAGGCCTTCTGGGCCCCGGGTGGACCTCAGGAGACCTCCACACAGTGGACAGGCAGGGCCAGCTTCCAAACGAGACTCAGGACAAGGCAGGGCCCTGTGCCAAGCCCAGGGAAGGGGCACTGGGTCCCAGGCACCCCTCAGAGAAGCCTCAGGGGACAAGGGCCTGCCCACTGTGCTGACTCCCAGGCACTGCCCAGACCAGAAGTGCCCACCACACCCACCAGGAGCTGGTGCCCAGAGCCTGTGCCCTCCACCCCCAGGAGGGAGGGGCCTGCAGCTGGGACGGTGCCCCACCCCAGGCGTGCGGAGTGGGTGCAGGCCCCACAACACTCCCTGTGGCTTGTTGGACTCGGTGGGAAATGCAGTAAAACATGTTTTCACTCTGGGATTTAATTAGCGGTGGTGTGATGCTCTACACCCAAACTGGGCAAATGCAAGACTTCCGCAGCCTCTTGGAAAGAGTCAGACCCAGCTGCACAGGCTCAGGCTGCGCTCGATGCCTGCCCACCTCCCACAGGCCTGGCAGGGCTTGGGTGCTGCTAACCGCTGAGTCACCCACGGAGCCTGGCCCAGCCCACCCGGACCAGCAGAGACAGGGCAGCCCCCTCCCTGGCTGTGGGGCCGGCCGGCATGCCCAGCCAACCCAGGCGAGGTCAGCCAGTCCAGCCACCTTCACGCGAGGTGGCCCCGGCCCCAAAGGTAGCCTTGGCCCAAGGCCAGGGGGTGGGGGACGAAGTGCTGCTGCCCAGGGTCAGGGTCAGGCCTCCAGGGAGCAAGGCGGCAGCAGTCCCGGGATCTTGCTGGGAACGAACAGGGGCCAGGCCTGTGCCACCCTGGGAGGCAGGAGCCCGGAGCCAGCGCAGGGCAGATGGCTGTGCACCGCGCACCCCAGGCCCCTGGGGGGGACCCCGGCCTTGAGAGCCTTTTCCCACCAAAGAACCCAGGCCCTGCTCGGAGCCTCCGAGGCCCCGCGGCCCATCTGGGGTGTCTGAGGCATTCTGGCTCTGCTGACCCCTGGGAACAACTCCCCAGGCTCTGGGTGGGGGGGAGCAGGCACCACCGTTTCCAAGACGCAGTAAAGAGCCTTTCAGCCAGGGAGCAGGGAGAGGCTCGGCGCCTCCGTACGAAATCAAATCTCTCCCACAGAAAGGCATCGACTAAGTGCTCGAGGAGAGCAAACTCGTCCTGACCCAGGAACGGCACCCAGCAGTCCAGAGCCCGGGCTGGGGCCGCAGTGCGGGGGGAGGGGCAGCCGGTGCAGGAAGGTGGCGCCCATCCTGGCACTGTCTGCCCTGGCAGGGGATGAGGGTCCTGGGGTGGGAAACGCCTGTGCAGGAAAAGCAGGGGCCGGAGAGGCGGCCGGGGCAGGGAGGGGTCAGCCAGGACTCGGGTCCACCCAGGTGAGCACTTCACCTGAGGCTGAGGTCACCACCTGCAGCGTTCAGGGGCACCTCTGCTCTGTCCAGAGCCTCCGAACGTCTTCTCTGGGAGCCTTGGCAGAAACAATTTTAAACAAACAGGCCAAGAAACACTGAGGATTAAGTAAACTCCCGAGGACTCGCTGGTCAGGCCCTGCAGAAAACATCTCCCGCCTGCCCTTCCTC